GGGGCTCTAGGACGGTTGCACGCCCCCCCACCGACGATGCCGGCTCTGTGCCTGCCGCCTCTGAGAGACAGGGGCTCTAGGACGGTTGCACGCCCCCCCACCGACAATGCCGGCTCTGTGCCGGCCGCCTCTGAGAGACAGGGGCTCTAGGACGGTCCTGCATGCCCCCGCAACCCCGACGATGCCGGCTCTGTGCCTGCCGCCTCTGAGAGACAGGGGCTCTAGGACGGTCCTGCACGCCCCCCCACCGACGATGCCGGCTCTGTGCCTGCCACCTCTCAGAGACAGGGGCTCTAGGACGGTCCTGCACGCCCCCCACCGACGATGCCGGCTCTGTGCCGGCCGCCTCTGAGAGACAGGGGCTCTAGGACGGTCCTGCACGCCCCCCACCGACAATGCCGGCTCTGTGCCGGCCGCCTCTGAGAGACAGGGGCTCTAGGACGGTCCTGCACGCCCCCCACCGACGATGCCGGCTCTGTGCCGGCCGCCTCTGAGAGACAGGGGCTCTAGGACGGTCCTGCACGCCCCCGCAACCCCGACGATGCCGGCTCTGTGCCTGCCGCCTCTGAGAGACAGGGGCTCTAGGACGGTCCTACACGCCCCCCCACCGACGATGCTGGCTCTGTGCCAGCCGCCTCTGAGACACAGGGGCTCTAGGATGGTCCTGCACGCCCCCCCGCCGTCCCACAATGCCGGCTTTTGTGTTTTTCCTGGATTTCAATCGCTTCATTTCCTGCCCAGCCCCAGCACCTCTGTCCAGTGAGGGCTTCCCAGCGACCTACCCACCCTCGAAGCCTGGAGATACTCGTCTGGCAGGAGCACAGCTGTCCAGCTGGATACAGGTCCTTGGGGGCCCCTGCGTCCTGTGCCCTCCCAGAGCCACCCTGCCACTCCAGGCCCCACAGCCTGCACAGGATGCAGCCTCCTGGCTCCCAGGGCTTCCTTCTTGCTCAGCAGTTCCATCAGATGTGCAGTGTTGGGCTGAGTCCTGTGTCCTGGTGGGTGACATCCCCAACCCTGGTATCAGTAAAATCCTGAATCTGAACAGCAGGATGCCTACCAAGCCCGACATTCTCGTTCTTCCCATGACTGCACTGATGGCATCGCATTCTCTCCCTCCACAGCATTAAGACAGTGGCGACATCCAACCAGCTGTATGGGAAGCTTCCGTCCAGGAGGAGAAATTCCTGACCAACAGTGACACACAGAGCAGGCCTTCAGTTTCCTCCCACAACACAGCCTGGAGATAGGTAGCCCGCGGGCCCGCTGCCCTCTCCAGTCACAAGGGTCCCTGCCTCCAGTCTCCTTGCTCCATGGCTCCCCTCACGGCCCAAGGTGGCTACCCAGACTGCACCCATCACCGCTGCTTTCCAGCCAGCAGGGACAGCGAGGGGACAGCAGGGAGAGGCCCTGCTCCACTGTGTGCTGGATCTAGTCCTTTGGCCACCCCTAGTGGCAAGAAAGCATGGGCAGCCAAGTCCTCCTGCAGGACCACAGGCTGTGACATGGGGACTCAGCATCCAGGCAGCCCAGCAGACTCACACGCGGCCCTGGGAGACCAGGGCCTCTCTTCCCATCGCTGGACATGCAGCCCTGGGAGACCACGGCCTCTCTTCCCATCTCTGGACGCGCAGCCCTGGGAGACCACGGCCTCTCTTCCCATCGCTGGACACGCAGCCCTGGGAGACCACGGCCTCTCTTCCCATCTCTGGACGCGCAGCCCTGGGAGACCACGGCCTCTCTTCCCATCGCTGGACACGCAGCCCTGGGAGACCACGGCCTCTCTTCCCATCTCTGGACACATGGCCCCCCAGGGCTGTGGCCTCTCTTCCCATCTCTAGACACACGGCCCGGGAGACCACAGCTTCTCTTCCCATCTCTGGATGCAGTCCCGGGCGGCCGCGGCTTCTCTTCCCATCTCTGGACACGCAGCCCCAGGGGCCGAGGTTTCTCTTCCCATCTCTGGACATGCAGCCCCAGGGGCCAAGGTTTCTCTTCCCATCTCTGGACACGCAGTCACGGGGTGCCGCAGCTTCTCTTCCCATCTCTGGATGCAGTCCCGGGGGGCTGCGGCTTCTCTTCCCATCTCTGGACACGCAGCCCCAGGGGCCGAGGTTTCTCTTCCCATCTCTGGACACACAGCCCCGGGAGACCACGGCTTCTCTTCCAATCTCTGGACACGCAGCCCCGGGAGACCACGGCTTCTCTTCCAATCTCTGGACACGCAGCCCCGGGAGACCACGGCTTCTCTTCCCATCTCTGGACACGCAGCCCCGAGACCACGGCTTCTCTTCCAATCTCTGGACACGCAGCCCCGGGAGACCACGGCTTCTCTTCCCATCTCTGGACACGCAGCCCCGAGAGACCACGGCTTCTCTTCCCATCTCTGGACACGCAGCCCCGGGAGCCGAGGTTTCTCTTCCCATCTCTGGACACACAGCCCCGGGAGACCACGGCTTCTCTTCCAATCTCTGGACACGCAGCCCCGGGAGACCACAGCTTCTCTTCCCATCTCTGGACACGCAGCCCCGGGAGCCGAGGTTTCTCTTCCTATCTCTGGACACGCAGTCCTGGGGTGCTGCGGCTTCTCTTCCCATCTCAGGACACGCAGCCCCGGGGGCCGAGGCCTCTCTTCCCATCTCTGGCTTCTGCAATTTCCCTGTCTTTAAGCGTCCTGTTCTTCCTAGATTTTCACTTGTGTTTTTAATTTCAAGTTCTCCTAGTTCTCTGGGGCTCCTTTCTGTGGCACCTGCTCTGCTTCTGGTTAGGGACTGCTTCAGGCCCCTCCAGGATGCCAGGACGGTTCCCAACACTCCGGTCTCGTCCAAGAACACTGCTGCATCCCCTGGGGAGGTTTTCTGAGTATTTACCATGTCTTTCTCTGCCCTGGGCTGTACCATCTGGGTGCAGAGCAGGGAGTCTGTGTCCTGCCAGGGACCACGCCAGCCCCACCCCAACCAGGGCGGCCCACTGATTTGCATTTTATACGAACCTGTCTAGGCAGCCTGGGATTACTGCAATTTCAGAAAACCTCTGTTTTGCCTTAGTTTTCCAATCTGTTGGCAGACCCTGCTTTAGTGTGACTTACAACTTTCCAAGTTGACCATGTGCCTCTTTTCCATTCCATACGTGTGTGTCTTTAACACACACCCAGCCTCCCAGTGAGAAAACCGTACTAGCCAGGGCACTGTCAAAACCAAGTGGGTGCCACATGACTCCAGGTGTACACCGTGGCCGGGCATGCATGTGGACACGCCCGTGTGATGTGCTCATGTGCAGATTCCGGCACACTGGCCCACTGGCAGCTCCCCCGCCCGCACCCCAGCAATGGTTTCCGTCACGCTGATGCCTCTGCCTGAACATGAAGAGATCAGGCAGCATGCAGCCCTTGAAACCAGCTCTTCACTCGCCATCACGCTACCGAGATCCCCCCGCCTGTTGCTGAGGATGCCAAGGGAGGTGGCCAGCGTTTGCCTGGCCACTGACCTGCCAAAGGGCAGCCGGGGCGTGTCCTGGTTTGGGGCATGTCCTGGTTTGGGCCGTGATGATTACAGTTGCCAGGGAGCATGACGCGCGGTTCTGCCCGCGGACGTGCGTTCCAAGCCTCTGCGACTAAGGAGTGTGGCCACTGGGCTGCATTACAGGCGCACATCTAACTGCATGAGAAACCAGGAAGCGTTTTGCAGAGCGACCGCCGGCCGCAGCAGACGCGCGCCCATCTTTAGCACCATGTTTCCTTTGGAAATGCTTCTGCTGTCATCCCTTCCAGCCCCTCCCCTCTATTGTTCCAAAGTGTCTGTGAGGGTGGCTCCTCATCTCACCCTCCTGGCTGCTAAACCTGCCCCTCTGTTCTCCCATTCGGCTTCGGCGTGTCTCAGATCCACACCTCACCTCCTCTGAGGCACCATGCCCCGTTTTAGGGGCAGCAGCTCCTCGTCGGTGTCTGGCCCGGCCTCCTCCTGAGGGCTGTGCTGGGGTCACCATGCCGTGGTCAGCTCGGGGAGCTCTGGTGGACCCGCACTGCCTTTTCTGGCTTTTGGGCTTTATGCCTCATCTGCCATCTCCTGACTGCCTGGTTATCTCTACTGCATTTGACGGACCCTGGGCCAGACGATGATCTGTAGAAATGAACCGAGGCCCAGGCTGATGCTACGTTCCTCTGAAGGGGCTGTCCCATTTCTTCCTGCCAGGCACCTGGGGCCAGGCAGTGTGGGATCCCCTGAAATCCAGGCTCAAGTCTCCCCCGATGTTGGCAGGCTGGATGCCCACTGTACGGCATGTCAGAGTCCAGGGCACCCTCACTCCAGGTGTCACCTTACAGGCCATGGCTGTCCCAGCAGGCCCCACACCCTGCAGACCATGGCTGCTGCCAATGCCAAATGCAACCCCTCAGCCACTTCTTCGAGAACAGCCAACACCCCAGGCCAGAACGGGCAGGGCCCACCCGTTCCTACAGATTCTGGGCTTGTCTGGATTGTAGCCTGGGCAGCTGTAGCTCTGTCCTGTTAGCTCCTGAGGACCCAGCTTCTTCGTCTGTCTTCAGGGAAAAGCTGCTCTGAATCACTAACCTCTGGCTACAAGCAGAGCCAGACCGACCTGTTTCTCATCACGGAGGAGCCTGTGGATCTCCTGAGCAAACACGACTCAGGAAAGCTGCCCGAAGGCTGCCCACTGCTGGACCACAGCCAAGTCGTGGGCAATGCCAAGACCACCCATGCGCATGCAAAGACCGCTGTGCGCCCGGAGCCAGGGGAAGCAATTCACTCTGGCCCTGCAACAAAAGCAGCGTCCTGAGGACCTGCTCTCTGGGAGAAAACTGGAAATGAATCCAGAAGCTACAGGCGAAACCCCATGTCCATCTCCTAATGGGGCAGGGTGAAAGGGACAGAGGCTGCACCTGTCCCAGTGGCATCCAGACCTGCTGCGGCCCATGCTCCCATCCCTCCCAACTCCCCTCCGGCATGTGGCTCTGGCAGCCCCAGGACAGTACGTGGTGGTACCTTCTCATGGATCTCCTGCGTGGACTGCGCGTCGCAGAAGGCCACGGTGGCCACGTCCTTCAGGATAGGCATCTCCACCGTGCAGTCCCGGCCATCCAGCAGTGCCACCAGGGGCCGCGGGTGCAGGGGCCCGTTCATGATTGGAGGTCGGACGCCTGCAAGACAGAAGCAAGTGCTCAGCCTTGCACCACCGCAGCCCGTAGCCACAACCTGCTCCACACTGCCCACTGTGCACCGGCCGATGAGGGCTTTCCATTCTACATGTTGTGATATTTGTAAAAAGTGAATTAAAAATCCATAGGAAAGACAGATTTGTGTGCCTCAGCTCGCTGACACGAGTGGACACAGACTACAGACACCCACCACCATTGCCCTCAGGCACAGGGGCTCCCAGACCCCCTGAGACCCTCCCAGACCTGTCTGAGATTCCCCAAGACTCCCCCATACCCTCCGAGATCCCGAGACCCCAGGGCAGCTCCATGAGGCGGAGGGACAGGAGGGACCCGTGACACTGGAGGGCACAGATCGCAGCACAGGGCTTTAGGAACATGGCTGCCCTTTTCCGCCTGGGCTACCGTGTGGCTGCTGGAATCCCCGATGGGTCACCAATATTTCACACAGAACGCCCCACCCTCTGCCTGGCATCACTTCCATTTGTAAATTTGAAGGGACAAGAAACAGAGCTATAGAGGAAAGTCCACTGTTAAAGTCCACTGTGCCCCTACCTTCCCAGAATGAGCTGATTAAAAACCACTAACACCCATTATTCCTTTCACGTATGACACAGCTAAGCTTCGTTCGGGCCACATGGAGAAAGAGGGGCTCTGAGGTGTCACAGAAGCACAGCAGCTTCCAGGCACCACCCGGCCACCCTGTGCCAGGCAGGGAGCACCGGGTGCTGGGAAAAGGCAGAGCTGGAGCCAGGGTCTGGCCGGTCCACCCCCCAGACTGGCCCCAGGAGACCAAGGAGCCCCCAGGACCATTTGGCCAGCAGGAGGGGAGACACAGGACAGAACCAAGAAACGGAGTGACCCAGTAAAGTCCTCAGTGGCTGCAGCCACATGCACGCTCAGCCGTCTCCCACCCCATCTACCAGCAGGTAAGCAGAGGCCACCAAGCCGCCAGGGCCCAGAATGCACTGCAAACACGGCTCTTGGAGCCCACGGCAGAGAAAAGAGACACCCTGGTGGACAGCCCAAGGGTGCAATGGGCCTGCAGCAGGTGCCTGCAGGGGACAGGGCACAGGTCTCCACTGACCACCCCAAAGCCGAGGGCTCCCGGTACGGCTGGGCCCAGGCTCCTCCTTCTAAGTCCTCACGCCCCAGTGACCTCAGAGGAGCCACTGGCCATTCCACCCACTTGCCTTCAAGACAGGAAAGGTGCCAGGACCTGCCCAGACCCCAAACACGGGGTGTGCACAATCAAAACCACATCCTGGTTTGCCTGTTCCCTCATTCCATCTGGACAGGAGCTGCCCATGACCCCCCTCCTGCAGCTCCCCAGTGACACTCCACACGTCCCCCTCCTGCAGCCCCCAGCGACACTCCACATGTCCCCCTCCTGCAGCCCCCCAGTGACACTCCACACGTCCCCTTCCTGCAGCCCCCCCAATGACACACCACAGGTTGCCCTCCTGCAGCCCCTCCCACTGACACACCACACATCCCCCGCCTGCAGCCCCCCCAGTGACACTCCACAGGTCCCCCTCCTGCAGCCCCCCCAGTGACACTCCACATGTCACCCTCCTGCAGCTCCCCCAGTGACACACCACAGGTCCCCCTTCTGCAGCCCCCCCCCAGTGACACTCCACACGTCCCCTTCCTGCAGCCCCCCCAGTGACATTCCACAGGTCCCCTTCCTGCAGCCCCCCCAGTGACATTCCACAGGTCCCCCTCCTGCAGCCCCCCCTGTGACACACACATCCCCCTCCAGCAGCCCCCAGTGACACTCCACACGTCCCCCTCCTGCAGCCCCCCCAGTGACACTCCACATGTCCCCATACTGCAGCCCCCCCAGTGACACTCCACACGTCCCCCTCCGGCAGCCCCCTCAGTGACACTCCACAGGCCCCCCTCCTGCAGCCCCCCGGTGACACTCCACACGTCCCCCTCCTGCAGCCCCCCGGTGACACTCCACACGTCCCCCTCCTGTAGCCCCCCGGTGACACTCCACATGTCCCCCTCCTGCAGCCCCCCGGTGACACTCCACACGTCCCCCTCCTGCAGCCCCCCCCGGTGACATTCCACACGTCCCCCTCCTGCAGCCCCCCGGTGACATTCCACACGTCGCCCTCCTGCAGCCCCCCGGTGACACTCCACACGTCCCCCTCCTGCAGCCCCCCGGTGACACTCCACATGTCCCCCTCCTGCAGCCCCCCGGTGACACTCCACACGTCCCCCTCCTGCAGCCCCCCCGGTGACATTCCACACGTCCCCCTCCTGCAGCCCCCCGGTGACACTCCACACGTCGCCCTCCTGCAGACCCCAGTGACACAGCGCATGGTCTGGCTCCCTAACCACAAGGGGCGGTGGCTACTGCTCATGTGTGAGGGGTTGACGTTGCTGTTTCTGAGGGAGTGGGTAGACATCTACTCTCAGCATCCTTGGTCTTCACTTTTGATGAGGAAGGTGTGAACACGCGAACCCCACAGGCCCAGAGCTCACGGGCCATCTCCATGCAAAGTCTGAACCGCCCCTGCCAGTGAACGTGGGGACTTGGGCTGGTGCTGTGGTGAGAATGCGACACTGGGAACCACAACAGATCACGTAGCTGCATCCGAACTGCCTGGGAGGACTCCTGGGTGCTGGGTGAGTGGAGCCAGGAGGAGTAGGTGAAGACGCCAGGCCCCCCCAGTCAGGTACCCAAGGTGCCTCATCGCATCATCCACCAGCTACCCCCACCCACTGTAGCAGGGTCCCACCAGACAACCTGCCCTTGCGGGCTTGTGGACATGCCCAGGAGGCCACGCAGTCACACGGCCCGTGCTGGAGCAGGCTTTGCGGCACCCCCTCAGCCCAGGGCTGTTTCCGGCTGCCCGCACTTCTGGGCCAGAGAACACAGACCAACTATTAGAAACAGCTCCACAGGGTGGCAGCCCTGCTTGGGGCACGCCAGGTGGACACCTGGGACTTCCAGGGTTCCATGTGGGGCTCCGTCCTCGTGCTTGCGGACCCCGCACCCCCTCTGTGCCCCTCAGACACTTTCCGACAGAAACAGCAGATGCCACGGACAGGCCTGATCACAGCTGTGCTCTGCCGCCAGGCATGCAGGAAACCCTCCCTCGGGGGATGCCTGTCCTCGCCCAGAGCACACTGGGGGCCGGGTGGCAGCAATCAGGCCCGATGCCCGCACAGCCTGGGTCCCTCGACTTCATCCAAGGTCGCGGAGAGACTAGCCAGCTCCGCTCTGCCGCAGACGCCAGGAACCCCTACCAACCTGACATCTCTTAATATGGGCTCGGCTTCCACGACCATGAATTCGACTTTTGAAAGCTTTTTATCTTCAGGGTCCCCAGGCAGAACCGCGTCCTGTCTCGGAGCCTCATCCCACGTCCTTAATTGTCTCGAGCCAAAGCGCTCAGGCTTCTGATCCACGGCAACCACTGAAGCCTGCGTCGGGGTCAAAGTCTTACTAAAAATCAAACACAAGAGACACATTAAAACGCCATCAAAGGTCCGACCAGAACTCAGACTCCAGGAAACGCCATGGACGTGGGCCTCACTGCATCTGCCACACCCCGGGCTGCTGGCTGGGACCTACCTGCACTCAGGGGCCTGCTGTCAGCCAGGGGCCCTGGCTCCCGCCACATATGTGAGCGGCACTCACCCCAAGGTGGCAGTGCCAGGCCCGAGGCCGGGCTCCAGAGGCCCCTATGCTGCCTCTTGAGAACTGCCCCCCAGGACTAAGGCCACCCCCACAGGCTCTAGCTGCACCCAGATGTCCCCAGTGTCCAAGAGCAAGGGGACGGAGGACAGGACAGAGGATGCGTGCTGTGGGCAGGGCAACTGCGGAAGGCTCTGCCTGCTGTTCTGAAGCTTCTATCTCATGTGGCCAATTCCCAGGAGCCACCGGGAGAGGTGCTGCCGGCTTTTCAGCATCCAGCCTGCCACAGGCCATGCTGTCTCCACCTGTGACCCTCAGAGCACCCCAGCGACGCTCCCTTGATTCTCCCTAAAGCACTGCTCAGCTCTTCCTGACTGCTAGGCCAGGGCCTGGCAGGAAGCTGAGGGCACGGACCTCAATGGCCATATGCACAGCGGTGGGGGGCACCTGAGGGGCCAAGCCTTCCAGGCAGTACAGGGGGCTGGGAGTGCCCATGATCACCCAGCCCTGGGGAGGGTATCACTGAGCCGCCCACATCCGGCCCCTGCTCTGGCATGAAGACACCACACAGGGGCTGACCCCAAGGTGCAGCTGACGTCTGGCAGACCAGGACAGGAGCTGGCCACCAGCCACAGTGCGCAGGCATAGGCAGAGACGACTGCCTGCCAAGCCAAGAGGGGCTGCTCAGCCAGGCCTAACACCCTGGTGGTGTGCTGGGGGGCCGCCCCTGCCAGAGGCCTTACAGACGAATCTCTGCCCCTCACTCCCCTCTGCAGGATTCAAGCGCACACGCCGACCACCTCCAGCTTCCAGAGACACCAATGCACACAGTGCAGCCCCACACACAAACGCACCTCCCATCCAGGGTCCCTGACACCACTCTTCATGGCAGGTGCTGGGCGGGGCTCCCCTATGGAGGACCCTAGAGCAACACAGTAGAGTGGAATCCCCCCGCCTGGGCCTGGGCCCCCAACGACCTATGCTGAGCCTTGAAGGCGGCCCCCCGCCCCCCCGCAACACCCCCACCACTACCCCCACCCACTGCACCTGGATCCTGCATAAAAACAGAAACTAAAAGGACAGGAGAAAACAGCCTCAATGTCACACCTCCGCCACAAGCCAGCCTGGCCAGGGGGCAAGGCACCGCGCCATCCATGCCCGGCCAAACAAACTCATCAATACTGCTCATGGCGGCCCGATACCGGCTGCTGCTTGTGAAGACTGGCCAATACTTATCAATACTGCCCATGGTAACACAGCGCTGGCTGCTGCTCCTGGAGGCTCCTAGATACCCCTCAATACTGCTCAGTGCTTGTCAGTACCACCCAGTACTTGCCCACACCTGTGGCTCCAAGGAGAAAGCAGATGTGGGAAGGCCACCCTGGCCCTCCTAAAGGACCCTGCAGTGAGGAGGCGTGGGCTCCTGAGCTGAGGGACCTGCAACAGGGCTCCTGTGGCCCTGTGCTCCCTGGGCCGGCCCTGTCAGAGATGAGGGGCTACACCCTGTGCCACAGGGACCTCCTGCGGCTCCATGTTCCAAGGCTGCCCCGGTTCAGGAGAGACACCTGAGGCCCAGTACCTGGTTCTCCTCCAGGGGCCTCTGTCTTGGAAACCGCCCTGGGGCGAGATCTGTCCTTAACTTTGGGGGAGGTCTGCCCACCCTCTGCCCTACCCTGGGACCAAGGTGCACCCACAAAGCAGCCCCCTGCCAGGCCGAACCTTCCACACTGACACCCAGCCTCCGAGTCCCAGAGCTCCCACCCAGTGCAATGTCTGGAGGCCCTGGGCACCTCATGCCAGGGAGCTGGCCTCCCAACAGCCCTCCTAGCTGGCCAATTGGGAGTCAAGGGCTCCTGGCCTGTACCTCCCTCACACGCTCTGAGATGAAGGCACACAGCTCCCAGAGGGGCTTGTGCCATCCAAACCCAGGACCCACACTGCTTTTCCTTATTAAAAACTCACAGCCACACATAGCTCTCAGCTCAGCAACGCAAGGACAGTCTCCAGGTTCACATCCTGCAGATGCCGGGGCCTCCTTCCACTTAACCTCACATTGTAAGAAAGCCCTGAACGGACCCTCAGGGGAAACTGAGTGTGGGGCGCACCCGAAGCTTGTGCTAGCTTCCTCACTTTCCTGCAAATCTCAGACTATTCTAACATAAAAATTTCTTTTAAAGAAAACGAGGTTAAGGTGAGAGGCAACAACCCCCAGGGTCTCCGGAGGCATCAAGTCCCAGGAGGCTGCACAGGGGCGGCCTGATGACCCCAGTGCCACCAGACCACGTGCCGAAGCCGTCTCTGGATCCTCCTCCTGTTGGCCACACCTGCCCCCTCGGCCCTAAGTCACGTGTGCAACGGGCATCAGTCCACTCTGGAGAGGGACCAGGGTAGCTCCTTGCACACCGGGGTCACCACAGGCTGGGACCTGCCCCCCCGCCGGACAGCCACAGAAGGTCTCTGGGCACTGGGTTTGCAGGAAGTCCCAGGAGACCCCAAGATGCGCCAGAACCAAGCACCTGCTTGGGGTCATCTCCAGCCCAGGCTGCGCCAGTCCCCTCAGGTAGGACTTGGGGTTGGGGGTCCCCTGCTGGCTTCTCTCTCCTCCTGCAGCTCTGATGAGATGTCGGACTCAGCTGTCCAAACTCACCACAACAGCATTGTTCCTTCCCCAGTCTCAGTGCCTGGCCCCATCCCGGCCTGCTGAGACCCAGCCTCAGCAGCCACCAACCCTCCAAGTCCCTCCAGCCCTGCTAGGCCAACCAGTCCCCTGCCCTCCCCCACGGCCTCTACCAGAATGAGTCCCCAAGGCCCTTCCTCACCAACCCCATCTTCTTCCCCCTCCCCACAGAGGCCACTAAAGCTGCTGCCCAGGAAGACGTTCCCCAACCTCCAGAAGGGCACCCTTGGGCTGGCAGTCTCGCCAGCCCTCACCCTGCCTTGTCCCCATAAGCCCTGATGCCTCTGGGCTAAAAGTCTGGCACTGCCCCAAGTGGCCTTCTCGTGACAAAGCTGTCCTGCCGTGAGTCCCCTGGCACAGCCACCTGGGCGTTGGTGAGATGCCGCCTTTGGCTGTCCAGGCTGAGCTGCCCAGGCAGGGGCTGACAGTGACAAAGGCTGCACACAGCCTGACCCAGAGCCCTCCAGCCCCAAGATGCAGCCACCTGCTGCCCCGAGGGGACTGAGTCCCTGCCCTGTAATAACAGAGAAGGCCAGTCCCCCAAGAGGGAGCCCCACAGCAGCATGGGGCCACCAGAACTTCCCCCAGACAGACACCGCCTGCCACCCATGGGCCGACGCAGCACCTCCGACTACAGCATCCTGTGAGCCAGGGAGCCACGGTGCTCCACAGGGCCTGTGGGGCCACATCGCAGCTCAGAGATCGCAGAGTAGGAGCTGTAATCAGAGGCACGAATTTGCCACCGAGACTCCTCTCCAGGACTTCCGTGGATTCGCACGTTCCCATGTTTATTCAGCAAGCACATGCAGACACCTTGTGAACTCCAGGATCCCCCAGAACGCCACCTTCCCAGCTCCTACCACGTGTGGGGCAGCTGGGCTACCCCCTTTCTGGCCTTCCCAACAGGACATTCTACACACCATACTGCTTGAGAGGCAGTCTCAGATGCCTCAGGCTCATACCAGCCAGGCAGACGGGGCAGCCTAGCAGCCCGCATACCACAGATGGGCGGCAGGCCAGGGCGGCATGGGCCACATCAGGCCTGGGGAGTTGATGGCGGTGCCAGGGGAGGGTGCAGAAGGGGCCTGGTCCCATGCCTCTCAGGGCCACAGCCCCAAAACCTCCCCATCCAAACCAACCCTGGACCTACTGGGCTTCCTCTGGACCATCCTCCCTCTCCTTCAACACCTACAAGCTGGCACCGCCTGGGGCCACCCAGAGGGACAACTCAAGGTCAGTGTTTGGCTTGACAAAGAACAATCTAAGAGATTTCTGGATTCACAGGAAAAAATGAACATTTTCTCATGGGAGATACCACGTTAAGTGTGTGGTTGAAGGGCTGCCGGAAGGGACAGTCAAGTGACATAGGTGGCACCTTGTAGGTTACCCCGACCTAGTCGGGGGGAGGACAGCAGTGGGCTCTGGCCACTGCAGCAGACAATGGAGGACCCGGGGGGCCAGAGGCTCCTCGCACAGAGCTTTTGCCCACCAGAGGACCCCTGCGCTCTGACCAGTGTTCCCTCAAGCTATGCAGTTCAACCACAGAACCCCCACAGCAGCCCCTGCAGCCTCCACCACCTCCTGGCCACCCCTGGGCCCTGAGCCAAGCCTGCACCCCATCAGCACCACCTACACAGAGCCTCTCCAGCCCCGAGTGGAGTGGAAAACAAGTTCTTCTGGAAGGAGAGTCACCCGAGGTAAACACCCCACAGGGCACATGCTGACTCGGGCACTGCATGGGGAGTACCAGGGCACAGCAGGGCACAGAGCACTGCAGGAAGGGCCAGCCTGGCCGGGGCAGCCCAAGCCCACAGGACTGGGCCCAGGCTCAGCCCACTGAGTACAGGGACAAGACCAGTCCCCGTCCTGTGCACCCGGGGCCAAGCCCCCCCCGCCCCCCCCCCCACTGCTATATCCTCAGATTAATGACAAACGTGTAGAAGGGAAGATCCCACACTGACATCCCCAACCACACGCCCACCTCTCAGAACTCATCACTGTCCTTGTCAAAGCTGACAGGATGAAGTGCACGTTGGGGACATGGCAGACACCCCAAAATGGCCAGGAAGGCAGACGAGGCACCACCAGGAGTGACTAGACGCGGCCCCGGGTGCATGTCCCTTCCAGAGCTCTGGAGACCCGAGGACAGAAGCAGGTGCTCAAAAATGGACGACAGAACCAAGAGAGGAAGAGGCGTCTGCAGAGCCGACAGCAGCAACCAGGCGCCAAGCCCGGACCCCAGAAGGTGGTGGCCAGGCCTGGGCCCGCAGGGGAGACCCGGGAGGCCTGCTGCTGAGGCCCAGGGCAGAGCCACGCCCAACGAGGTTCCAGGACAGAGAAAGGGGTCCCACAAACCGCAGCTGTCATCCTCAGCTGCAACGGCAAATAGTTCCCCAGGGTGCTGCCCCAACACCGTCCCAAGTCGCAGCTGGAGACGCGGACGCGCAGAGGCCACCCCCTGGCCGGGAAAGGCCGGGAAGGCCGGGGTCACCGCGCTAGCTCAGCGGGGACAGCCGAGGTGCGGGCCCAGCCGCCAGCGCCTTTCTTTCCCTGAGGAACGTGCGCCCCTTGCCGAGCTCCTTCGCAAACGGTGGAGAGGACTCGGGGGGCCCGTGCTCCACGGAGCTGGACGGGGCACCCTGCGCACCCGCCGCCTCGGCCAGACGCCGGGCCCTGTAACCCCGGCTCTCAGGGTTCCCCTCCCCAGCTCGGAGCACCGGGAACAGCGCGCCCGCCCTCCCTCTTCCCCACTGGAAGGGATTCTGTCCGGGCAATCACACAGACTAGAGCAGCAGGGCTCCGGCCCCGGCCCGCGGCTCAGGCGCACGGGCTCTGCCTTTGCAGCCGAGTCGGAGGTGGGGGCAGACGCTCCGCGGAGCGGCCCGGGCCGGCCCAGAACGCGGGCACTGCAAGATGGCGATGCCTGCGGGCCCGGCTCCCGCCCAAGCTCCCTGCTTCCGCAGCCCGCGGGGAAGGCGCCCGAGGACCAGGGCGGCACCAGGCACGAGCAGGTGGGGGCGCCGGGCGGGTCCGGGACTTCGCGGGGACGGAGACCCCCGGGCCCTCCCGCGTCACAGCCGGGGGCTGCGCTTTGGGCCCGGTCTCAGGGTGGCGGCCTCCTCCGCGGTCAGACCAGGCGCCCGGGGCCCGTCCTCTTTCCCCACAGCGCGCCGCCACCGTAGCCGGCGGTCTCCGGGCGGGCGGGGCGCGCTCCCGCGAGTGGCCCAGGGAGCGCGCCCCAGGACGTCCCGAGCTGCGCAGGGCGCACCCCACACCTCAGCCCCGCAGGCCCAGCCGCGGGGTCATGACTGGGGACTGGGTCGCGGCCGGGGATCGGGACTCAGGGGGCCGTCCCGGGTCCCCAGGGCCTAGGGCCAGTGGAGCCGGGGATCCCGCGGGGCAGCCAAGAGGCCCGCAGGCCCCTTTGTGTCACCTGCGCGGGCCGCGGGCGGGGCGGGCGGACAGCGGCGCTCGCGCACGCGCACCGGTACGCAGCCGTCCGCGCATGCGCACCACCCCTCCCGCGGTCCCGCCCCCGGTCGCGGCTACGCGCGGGCGCTAGCGCGCACGCGCACTCGCACACAAAGCCGGCGGCCTGCGGGCGCGCGCTCAACCCGCCCCCGCGTCCCCCGCCCGCGCGGCCTCCGCCCCGCCCCGCCCCCGCCCGCGGCCGGAAACGCGCGCGCGCGCGGCCTTACCCAGCGGCAGGCCCTTGTTGAGCAAGTGCGAGCTGCCCATCGAGAGGCGCGGGCGGCCGCGGGCCCCGACCACTCCGGCGCGCTCTGCCGCCGCGAGCCCGGCGCTTGGGGCGGCCTCGGCGCCGTCCGCTGCTCCGCCCGCCCGCCTGCGCCTGGCCGCCGCCGTGCCGAGTCTCCGCCGCGCCGCTGAGCCGCGCTCGGACGACCGCGCGGGCGGGGACACGGCGGCGCGCGCGGGCGGGGCCTCGCGGTTGGTCTCCTGGTTCCCGGCGCGGGCGGCGGGCGGACTCACGCGGGCGGCTCAGGGCCCGCCCGGCCGGGGCGCGGCCGCGGGGCGGGGCGGGAGCCCGGCGGGAAGCTGGTCGGGGTTGCAGCCCGGCGGAGCCCCGGGGCCCGGAGTTCTGTACGTTCTAAACCGCCCGTCCCCGAGGAAGACGGGCAGGGTCGGGCCGTCCACCCCGAGGCCCCTGCGGGACTGCGCCGCCGGCCGGGCCGGGCCGCCCACGTCAGCGCCCGGCGCGGGCCGGAACGTAAATGGCGCTCCTCCGCGCCGGGGCCGCCCCGCTCCCTTCCCGCCCCTCCGGCCGCCGCCTCCCGCGTTCGCGCCTCGGCCCGCGGCCTGGCCCTGCAGCCGGTGCGCGGCGGGGTCCGTGCGCCCCCGGGGAGCCTGTCCTTGCGGTCCCGCTCTTCCCGCTGCTGTCCAGGGTCACCGAGGCCGCGGGACCCCGTCGCCTCCACCCGGGCCCTGAATTTACCGTCCGAGAGCCGGCCGCACTCGGGGCCCCGGGAGAAGCGCGCTCGCCCCGGTGCCTCCCCCGCCCGGGGGCCCGGACTCCCGGAGGGGCCGCGTTCTGCCAGGCCCGGGAAGCTCAGGGCCGGAGAACCCCCTCCCCGACCCCCTCTGTCTTTAACAAGAGTGGGGTTTGTAGCCGACCGGCGTCCTGGCAGCTCAGCTCCTCTTTCCATAATTTGGGTTAAGGATTAATAGCAAAGCCCCGCCCGCTGCAGGAGACGTCCAGACCCCGGCCTGCTCCCCCAGGGGCTGCCTCTGCGGACTCTCCAAGGGCCCAGGGATAGCGAGTGGACGCTTCCCTCCGCCCCGTGGGGAGGGCCTCTGCGGGGCTACTCTGAGCACCCCGAAGTGTTTGCATAGTTGCATAGTTTCGGATACAACAGTATGGATCCTGAAAGACGCAGACTCCTCTCCGCTGCCAGGCACCTGCTGTGGTTCCTGAGGACGCGTCCTGGGCTGGCCTGAGAAGCTCCAGTTTCCCCTTCAGGGCTGGGAGGACCTCAGACCCCGCTGACAGTGCTGGGGCCCTCAGCCAGCCTGCCCTGCGGGCCACTTCCTATTCTCTTTCAGACGCGCGCTGCGGAGCTGTGGCCTGGAGGAAGCCTGGCAGGTGTCACCAGAGCTTTGGAGACATGGGGCTCTGCCGGGGAAGCCCAGTGGGAGTCATGAAGGAGGGAACATGTGTGGAGCCCTTGTAGGGGTAGGGACTGTCCTGCAGAGATCTAAGAAAAGAATATTCCAGAAAAGTGAGCAGCAACTTCCAAGGCCAGGCATGGGTGCAGGGGACAAGGGGCCGCCACTGGAGGGGCCTAGGTGAGGCTGCCGGGAGGGGACAGTGTGGTTGGCGGGGTGCACAGGCAGGGACCTCGCTGGGCTTTCCTGTCCACTGGGCATGGACCAGCAGCCCAGGAGGAGGCAGCAAGTGGCCGGGCACAGGGATGTGCCAACCCCTGCCCCCAGGGGAGCTGGGGACAGGGGGGTCGCAGACACTCTATTCTCAGGTTGTGATTTACTGGGGGGTCGTGGGTAAAATGGAGAGGCTTTTGGGGAGAAATTCCTGGCTCTGTGGTGCACTTGCAGAGCTCAAGAGGCAGCCACGTGGTGGAAGGTGCAAGGAACATCAATAAGGCTTTGGGCCCTGTAGGTGGGGCTGCCATGAGCAGCAAGCTCAGTCCAGAAGAGCAGTTCCTCTCCAGCATCCACTTCCTGCTTATACGTTGAAAGTAGCTGGAGCAGAGCACCTGGAATTCCACAGGCAGCTAAAAGCTCTGGAGAGCAATGCAGGCCAGCCAGGGATCCAGCGTCTCCCCCAGGATCACGCTCCACAGCCTACCCCCCGCACTGCTCGTTAGTGCATTATCATGTCTACTTGGCCCCAGCCCCGTCCCAATGGCTTGGCTTGTTCCAAGCACTGCATTCTCCAGCTGCGGTTTTGGCTACAGTGCTGTCTGCTCCCCACGTTGGGCAACTCCAGCCGAGATTCCTACACTCACATGTGACTGTGTTGCCCAAGGAGAAACCTCAGCTTTGGGTGTGCCAAGCCATGTGCACAGCTCGTCCCAACCCCCACAGGCCCACCTGCCTCTCCCACCTCCCGTCCTCCCCTGTGATGAGCAGATGCCCACCACCCTCTAGGGTTTGGCCGAGCATGTGCCTGCCCTCTGGCCATGGTTGAGCCTGCCATGTACCTGCACACAGGAGGGGCTCCTGGTGTTTGCCCTACACAATGGGCTGTCTGGGAGCTGCTCAAGAGTTACCTTGGTGAGGATGCCAGAGGCCTGGATTCCCCCAGCCAGCCTCAGTTTCCACGTGAGTCGTTTTGCCCATCACATGAGACAACTTAGTGTTGGGGTAAAACTCAGCCCACCCTAAGGAAGCATTGGCGTTTTGGATGGATGAATGCTGCTTCATGTGACTCCATTTCAATGGACTCTATTTATTCAACGAAGATATTTCTGTGAGTCTCCTCTGTTCCAGCCACGTGTGAAAGAAAAACGCCAAGTTGCTTGACACTGGGACAAACCAGGAAGTTCACTGCGTCTGGTTCCTCCTCCTCTGCCAACTCTCCTAGGCCACCGTTCCGATTCCTGGCACAGAGTGGGGGACAAGCTCCTCAGTACCCAGAGCTTCCGGCGTGTAGCCAAAGGCCTCCAGTTCAGTGCCACGCTCAAGACGAGGGCCACCCTATTCACATACCTCAAATACAGAAAGTGCCTGGAAATGTTGATAAGGTATTAAAGGAAACCACTGGGTTGTCAGTCATGTACACACAGGAAGAAAAAAAACAGTCGTCTTTTTTTTTTAAGACAGAGTTTCGCTCTTGTTGCCCGGGCTGGAGTACAGTGGCGTCATCCCAGCTCACCGCGACCTCCGCCTCCTGGGTTCAAGCAATGCTCCTGTCTCAGCCTCTCTAGTAGCTGGGATTGCAGGTGCCCGTCACCACACCCCCCTAATTTTTTGTATTTTTAGTAGAGACAGGGTTTCACCATCTTGGCCAGGCTGGTCTTGAACTCCTGACCTCAGGTAATTCACCCACCTTGGCCCCCCCACAGTGCTGGGATTGCAGGTGTGAGCCATTGCGCCCAGCCAAAAAAAAAAATTTTTCATACTAAAATGATGAACAAGTAAACTTGAAACAAAAATGGACAAATACCTAAAATATTTTTAAATGTATTTATTTTAATTGGCACATAATAATTGTATACATTGATTGTTTACAATTTGTTTTAACTTATGTATACATTGTGAACTGGCTAAATCAAGTTAATTAGCATGCATTCACTCACATACTTGTTTTTTGGGATGGTGAGAACACTTAAAATCTACTCTTAGCAATTTCCAAGCACAAGATATGTTGTTCTTAACTATAGTCACCATGTTATTAGCTAAAGTCACCAAGTCCCACTATAGCTCCCTTGATCGTATTCCTCCATGTAGCTGAAATGTATCCCTTGACCAGCATCTCCACCCAGCCCCAGCCCCGGCCCCAGATAACCACCATTCTACCCTCTGCTTCCGTGAGTCAACTTTTGTGGATCCCACCTGTAAGTGAGATCATGCAGTGTTTGTCTTTCTGTGCCTGGCTTTTTCACTTAATGCCCCTCTGGTTCATCCATATTGTCATACGTGGCAGAATTGTCCTCCTTGTTAAGGCTGACCGCTGAGCCATCGCGTATACACACCACATCTTCTACCCAAAATATGTTTTAGTACAGTGGCTGAAACCTGCCACGTAACCTGTTTAAGTGCCACAGGCTTGCTTTTCAGCCACAAGATGGGAGGACAAATCACATCTGCCCTGCAGGGGGATTGCGAGCTGTGAAGCGCCACGAAGCCCAGGGGAGCCGAGAACTGAAGCCGACAGACCTGCCTTGTTACTTAAGCCCTCCAGGGCCGAGTTTCATCAGTGATGCAAAAGAACGCCTGTCTCGTGGGATTGCAAAACGATACAGAGGATGTCTTCATCCGTTCCGTGCTGCTGTAACAGGCTCCTACAGACTGGGTCACTTAGAGTGTGGAGAAACTTGCTGGCTTACGGTTCAGGAGGCTGGGAGGTCCAGCGTCAGGGGTCAGGGCCTTCCTGTGGCGTCATCACGTCGCAGAATAGCAGAAGGGCAAAGAGGAAGGATGATTGAGCAAGAGAGAGAAACAGAAGGGGCTGAACCCTCCCTTTTATAACATGCCCACCAGCCCATTCAGGAGGGCAAAGGCCTCGGGGCCTAATCACCTCTCGAAGGTCCCACCTATTAATATCGTCACAATGACAATCAAACTTCTACATGAATTTTGGAGAGGACAGTCATTCAAGCCAGAGCAGAGGGGGATGGCAAGTGTTCTGAAGACAAGCCTAGAAATTCATCTTAGAAATAGTGCAAAAGCAGATTTCCACTTCTGTCTTTCCCTGTGGTGCTAAGACCCCAAAAGCCTCCCAGGACAGAGCTTGTGAACACAACACAGAAACAACAAACTTTTAATGCAGAGCTGAGCTCACAAGGAGGTCAGGGACGTGCCGGGAGCCAGAGACAAACTGAAAACCGGGTCCTGAAGTGTGAGAGCCTGAGGGCAGCTGCCCAGCAGAGTGTTGGTCTGGAGCCTCAGGGTCTACGTCTTGACATTCACATGGGAAAGGAGATGAGGCCTCCCTGGACCCACATGAAGCAGGAACTGGAACAAGGGCACTCAAAGGGCTACACCTTCAGGAGAGATGTGAACGAGTAGCTGTGTGCCCACAGGAACAGGAGACGATACGATGGTTCCATGTTGGCTTGCCTGTTGTGGTTCTGTGAGACAGAAAGTTCTGTTGACAATTGATAATCAGGGCTCACAGCCTCGTTAGACGTCAGGTATTGATTTTTTCTTTTTTCTTTTTTTTTTTTTTTAGATGGAGTCTAGCTCTGTTGCCAGGCTGGAGTGCAGTGGTGTGAGCTTGGCTCACTGCAACCTCTGTCTCCCAGGTTCAAGTAGTTCTCCCATCTCAGCCTCCCAAATAGCTGGGAACTACAGGCACAAACCACCACACCCAGCGAATTTTTGTATTTTTTGGTAGGGACTGAGTTTCACCATGTTGTGCAGGATGGTCTCAATCTCTTGATCTGCCTGCCTTAGCCTCCCAGAGTGCTAGGATTACAGGCGTGAGCCACCGCGCCCAGACTGAATTTTTCTTTTTTGAGGCACGGTCTAGCTGTGTTGCCCAGGCTGGTCTTGAACTCCTGGGCTCAAGCAATTCTCCTGCCTTGGCTTCCCAAAGTGCTGGGATTACAGGCATGAGCTACCATGCCCAGCCTAGGTATTGAGTTTTCACAGGTTTCACAGTCCAGACCCTACCACCCCTGCAGCAAATAACTTGATATAAAACCTGAGCTCAGGCCAGTAATACCCTTAAAGCCCATGACAGAAGCAGGCACAGTGATAGAAGTAAAATCACATAGACATTCTCAATCTAGCCCCCTCCAACTCCTACCCATAAAGCCCACTGAAGATGAGTTTACAATCATAAAGAACGAAACACGCAAAGAAAGAGCCACAGGAGGGAAGTCAGCAGATGTGTGAACAGCAGGAATGGACTCCTCCGCCAAAGGCCTTCCGAAGGTAAACTGAGCAAATAAGAGAACATTAATTACGCATGTTTTCATGGTTAAGCATTACAGGAATAAAAGAAGGAAACGAACAAGAATACGATTCCAAGGGAGTTGGGGAAGAATAGGCAGTTTTGAAGAACTCAATGGAATACCTAGAACCCAAAACTGTGCTGCTAAAATTAACTCAATGGATGAGTTAAAAAGCAATTTAGACCTAGCTGAAAACTGAATTTGTGATATATGCAGAAGTTTCTTCTCGTGCGAGGCAGAGCATGATGACAGAATGAGGAGATCCCAAAGATTAGCGTTTCATTCCAAACGATTAGAAGAATGAGGAAGCAGCAGTATTTATAAAGATAATGACTAAGAAAGTTCTATACTTGATGAAAAATGTGGGATTTTTTCATCATTCCCTGATAAGATTCAGGAATGCTGTGAGACTCGAGCCAGGGGTAAAAAATGAAACTGCACTTCTACATTTAGGAGTAAAACTGCAGAATACAAAAGAAATGTTAAAGTGAAAAAGAAAACCACTCAGATTACTTCAAAAGCAGTTCTCATGAAAGCAGCCTTATCAATTACAATGATAAAAGGCAAGCAATAGTCAAATATCTATTTTTACAAAGTCACAAGATAAAATTAGTAACATAGGATTCTATACATAGCATTATTTGGTATCTACTGGGGCATAACAAAATCCCCCAAAACTTGGCAGCTTAAAAAACATTCAGTATTTCACCATTTCCATGAGTCAGAAATCCAGGTGTGGCTTAATTGCGTACTTGCATATTGGCTTCTCACCAGACTGCAATCAGGAGATTGGCACAGCATCTGTGGTCTCATCCGAAGGCTTGCCTGGGAAGTCTGCATCTGAGCTTACCCTTCATGGGCTGTTGGGCAGAGGCACCCTCAGCTCCTGGTCATGTAGGCTCTCCCACGGGGCAGCTCCTATCAACAAAGCATGCCAGACGAGGGCAACACACAGTCTTCTAGGAAGAAGAAAGCCACGGTCTTTAAAAAAAAAAAAAAAAAGGAGTATTTGTGTAATTACCACTTGGTTTGAGAAATGGAGCGCTGTGTCCATAAGTCCTCCAAAGCCCCCACCAGTAACTGCCCTCCTCCTTCTCCCCAGTACAATTACTCCCCTCACTTCTGTCTTTTTGTCAACTTTTTTAAGTTGTGGCAAGATGCATATAACTTAAAATTACCAACTTAATCATTTTGAATGTGCAGTTTGGTGGTGTTAAATACACTCACGATGTGCAACCGTCACCACCATCCATGTAGAACTCTTTCTGTCTTACAAAACTGAAACTCTGTCTCCGTTAAACAATAATTCCTCGTTTCCCTTCCCCTGGCCCTGGTACCCACCATTATACTTTCTGTTTCTGTAGTTTTGACCTCTAACTACCTCATACAAGTGGAATTATGTGGTAGTTGTATTTTCGGCAACTGGCTTATTTCATCTGTCACAGCGTCCTTAGGGTTCATCCGTGTTGCAGCCTGTGTCCGAATCTCCTCCCCTTTAAGGCTAAATAGTATCCCATTGTTTATACCACATTCTGCTTATTCATTTCTCCACCGATAAGCACGTGCGTTGTGATAAGGTTTGGCTGTGTCCCCACCCAAATCTCATTTTGAATTGTGGCTCCCACAATTCCCACATGTTGTGGAAGGAACCCAGTGAGAAGTAATTTTTTTTTTTTTTTTTTTTGGAGACAGAGTTTCGCTCTCATTACCCAGGCTGGAGTGCAATGGCGCGATCTCTGCTCACCGCAACCTCCGCCTCCTGGGTTCAGGCAATTCTCCTGCCTCAGCCTCCCGAGCAGCTGGGATTACAGGCACGCGCTACCACGCCCAGCTAATTTTTTGTATTTTTAGTAGAGACGGGGTTTCACCATGTTGACCAGGATGGTCTCGATCTCTTGACCTCGTGATCCACCTGCCTCGGCCTCCCAAAGTGCTGGGATTACAGGCTTGAGCCACCACGCCTGGCCAAGAAGTAATTGAATCATGGGGCATGTCTTTCCCATGCTATTCTCATGATGGTGAATAAATCTCATAAGATCTGATGTTTTTATAAAGGGGAGTTTCCCTGAACAAGCACTCTTCTCTTGTCTGCTGCCATGTGAGATGTGCCTTTCCACCATGATGATGAGGTCTCCCCAGCCATGTGGAACTGTGAGTCCATGAAACCTCTTTTCCCTTATAAATTACCCAGTCTTGCATGTCTTTATCAGCAGCATGAAAATGGACTAATACAGGTCGCTTCCACGTTTTAGCTACTGTGAATAATGCTGCTAGGAATCTGTGTGTACAAATACCTCTTTGAGACTCTGCTTTCAATTCTTTAGGGTATATGTGCAGAAATTCAGTTGCTGGGTAATTCTATTTTTGATTTTTTGAGGAACCACCATACTGTTTTCCATCATGGATGTAACATTTCACATTCCCAGCAATGGTGCAGAAGGGTTTCAGTTTCTCCACATCCTTGCTAACACTTGTTATTTTCTGGATTGTGTGTGTGTGTGTGTGTGTGTGTGTGTGTGTGTTTGTTTAATTAATATAGTAACCAACCTAATGGTGTCAGGTGGTATATCATTGCAGTTTTGTTTGTTTTTTGTTTTTGAGACAGGGTCTCACTCTGTTGCCCATGCTGGAGTGCAATGGTACAATCATAGCTTACTGCAAACTTGACCTCCTGGGCTCAAGTGACCCCCCCCACCTCAATCTCCTGTGTAGCTGGAAATACAGGCATACTACACCACCATGTCTGGCTAATTTTTAATTTTTTTTTAGATATTTTGGGGGTGGGGAGTCTCACTATATTGCACAAGGTGGTCTTGAACTGGGCTTCAGCAACCCCACAGCCTCTCAAAGTGCTGGAATTACACGTGTGAGTCACCGCACCCCAGCCTCATTGTAGTTTATGCAATTAGATATGCATTTGCCTAAGGAATGACGATGTCAAGCATTTTTTCATAGGCTTATTGGCTATTTGAATACTTATTTAGAGAAATGTCTATTCAAGTCATGTCTAGTTTTTAATCAGCTTGTTATTTTATTGTAGAGTTTTAGGAGCTTTCTACATATTAAGGACACTAATTCCTGATCACATAGACCACTTGCAGCTGTTTTCTCCCGACTGGTAAGTTGCCTGTTTCCTCTGCTGACATTGTCTTTCTCCCGTGCTTTTGTTGTCATATCCGAGAAATCAGCCAAATGGAACGTCGTGTAGCTTTGTGTCGTTGTTAGTATGTTTTAGAGTTTCACAGTTTTAGCTTGTACATTTAGGTCTTTGTAGTTTGTATATGGTGTGAGACAAAAGGTCCAGCTTTATTCTTCTGCAAACTGATGTCCTGTTTTTCCAGAACAGCTTGCCAAAAAGACTGTTTTTTTTTTTTCCGCACCGAACAGTATCGGCACCTTGTCAAAGATCATTTGACCACGTAGATGAAGGTTTATTTCTGAGCTCGGCATTCTTTTTTTTTGAGACGGAGTTTCGCTCTTGTTACCCAGGCTGGAGTGCAATGGCGCGTCTCGGCTCACCGCAACCTCTGCCTCCTGGGTTCAGGCAATTCTCCTGCCTCAGCCTCCTGAGTAGCTGGGATTACAGGCACGCGCCACCATGCCCAGCTCATTTTTGTATTTTTAGTAGAGACGGGGTTTCACCTTGTTGACCAGGATGATCTCGATCTCTTGACCTCGTGATCCACCCGCCTCGGCCTCCCAAAGTGCTGGGATCACAGGCGTGAGCCACCGCGCCCGGCCCCTGAGCTCGGCATTCCATTCCGTTGACCGATGTGTCTGCCTCTACGCCAATGTGGTACCGGCGTAGAGAGACATGTAGGTCTGTCCCAGCATAAGGACAGACCGCAGATTACTGTGTTCTTGGTTACTGCAGCTGTATGCTGAGTTCACCAGATTGCTAAATTACCAAATACTGTAGCTTCGAAGTAAGTGTTACAATCAGCCAAGTGTGAGTCCTGTGACTTTCCTCTTTGCGTTCAAGGTTGTTTTTGCTGTTTGGGAGTCCTTCAAATTCCATGGAAGTTTTAGGGTGGGTTTTTCCATTTCTGAAAAAATAAAAGGCTTTGTGGTTTTGACGGGATTGAATGAAATCTGTAGGTCGCTTTGAGTGCTATTGACATCTTCCGACGCAAGAACGTTGGATGTGTTTCCATTTGTTTACGGTTTCTTTAATTTCTTACCACAGCTTTTTGTAGCTGTGGATATAGAAGTCTTTCACCTCCTCCATTAAGCTAATGCAAATTTTTTTTTTTTGTTGCTGCTACTGTAGGTACAATCGTTTTCATCATTTCCTTTTCACACTGTTCATTGTTAGCATGAACAACGTACTGACTTCGTATATTACTATGTTACTACTTAGCTGAATTCACTTATTATTTCATTCCCTTTTCATGCCTAATTGCCCTGCCTAGCACCTTTAGTACTGTGCTGAACAGCAGTGGGGAAACACACGTCCGTCCTTGTGGGTGCTTCTTATATTCTTTTATGATGTGATGTCGAGGCAGTTTCCGTTTATTCCTAATTTAAGTGTTTTTTTTTTTAAATCATGAAGTGTGTTGAATTTTGTCAAATGCCTCCTCTGCATCCGTTCAGATGGTTATGTGAGGGATTTCCCCCTTCTTCTGGTCGTGCCGTGCATTGCACTGATCCATTTTCATACGTTGAACTATCTTAGTACTCCAAGAATAAGTCACACCTGGTCATTGTGTAGAATCCTTTTCATATGCTGAATTCGCTTTGCTAGTATTTTGTTGAGGATTTTCGCATCTATATTCATCAGGGATATTAGTTCTGTAGCTGTTTTGTTTTGTTTGAGACAGGGTCTTGCTCTGTTGCCCAGGCTGAAGCACAGTAACACAATCTTGGCTCACTGCAACCGATACCTCCTGAGCTCAAGCCATTCTCCTACCTCAGTTTCCAGAGTAACTGGGACTACAGGCACATGCTACCATCCCCAGCTACTTTTTGTACTTTTGTGTAGAGATGGGGTTTCCCTGTGTTTCCCAGGCTGGTCTTGAACTCCTGAGCTTCTACCTTGGCCTCCCACAGTGCTGGGGTTGCGGGCATGAGCCACTGTGCCTGGCCCTAGTCTGTAGTTTTTGTTAAAAACATTTTTTTTTGTTTGTTTTAGGGACAGGGTCTCGCTCTGTTGCCCAGGCTGGAGTGCAGTGGTACAATCATGGCTCATTGCACCCTGGAACTTCTGGGCTTAAGGGATCTTCTCGCCTTAGCCTCCCAAGTAGCTAGGGCTACAGACATGCACCACCACACCAGCCTATTTTATTTTATTTTGTAGAAATGGAGTCTCACTATGTCACCCAAGCTATTCTTGAACTCCTGGTTTCAAGTGATCCACTCGCCTCAGCCACCCAAAATACTGGGATTACGGGTATGATTCCCCACACTCAGCCCAGTTTTCTTTTCTTATAATGTCTCTGTCTGGCTTTGGTATCGGGATAATGCTGGCCTTACAGAATGAAAAAGAAAGTAGTCCTTCACCTTCAGTGCTTCTGAAGAGTTTGAAAAGAGTCGGTATTCTTCATCAAATACTGGGGAGAATTTGCCAGGGAAGCCGTCAAGTCCAGGGCTTTTCTCTGTCAGATTTTTGATGATGGATTCAATCTCCACATTACTTAAAATTCTGTTAAGACTTTCTACTTATTCCTGATTTATTTGTTTCTCAGATTTTATTTTTCTAGGAATGGGTTCGTTTCATACCTGTTATCCGATTCGTTGGCACACGGTTGTTCATAGTACTCTCTTGTAAATTCTTTTTATTTCTGTAGAGTGTGTAGTAACGTGTCCACTTTCATTTCTGATTTAGTAACTGGAGTTTTCTCTCTGTTTTCTCAGAGCATCTAGTGAAAGACTTGTTCATTGTGTTGATCTTTTCAGTGACTCACTTTTGGTTTTATTGGCTTTCCTCTATAGTTTTCAGTTCTTCATTTCATTTATCTCTTCTGTAATCTTCAGCATTTCTTTTCTCTGCTTCGGGTTTAGTTTATCTTTATTTTTCTAGCTCCTTAAGTTGTAAACTTAAGTTGCTGGTTTGAGATCTTTCTAGTTTTTTTTTTTTTTTTTGAGACAGAGTTTCGCTCTTGTTGCCCAGGCTGGAGTGCAATGGCGCGATCTCGGCTCACCGCAACCTCCGCCTCCTGGGTTCAGGTAATTCTCCTGCCTCAGCCTCCTGAGTAGCTGGGATTACAGGCACGCGCCACCGTGCCCAGCTAATTTTTTGCATTTTTAGTAGAGACGGGGTTTCACCATGTTGACCAGGATGGTCTCAATCTCTTGACCTCGTGATCCACCCGCCTCGGCCTCCCGAAGTGCTGGGATTACAGGTGTGAGCCACCGCGCCCGTCCTCTAGTTTTTTAATGTAAGCATTTATAGCTACGAATGTCCCCTGTGGCACTGCTTGTGTGGCGTCCTGTGTGTGCTGGTCTGCTGCTTTTTCATTTTCATTCTAAGTACTTCCTTATTTCCCTTGGGATTGTTTTCTAGGGCCCGTCCGTTGTTTAAGAGTCGTTTAACTTCCAGAAATGTGTGGATCTTACAGTTTCACCTCTGTTATGAGTTTCTCACTTCATCGTCCTGTGGTTGGAGAAGTTTGTACGATACCTGCACTTGAAAATCAACTGAGACTTAATCTGTGGCCTAACGGTTGGTATATCCTGGAAAACGACTCCTGCTTATTTGAGAAGGATGTGTGTGCTGTTGTTGGTGGTAGAATGTCTGCATGTGTGTTAGATCTAGCTGGTTTATGGTGTTGCTTAAATCCTTTATTTCCTCACTTACCGTCTGTGTGGTTGTCCTATCCGTTATTGAGAATAGGGTATTGGAGTCATCAACTATTGTAGAACTGTGGGAATGTATGTCTTTCATACGTGATAGATTTGATAGTCTTACAATTAATCAGGTTATGAAAAATTGAAGAACCCAATTAACAAGCATCATTCTAAAGACATATGAAAAACCTGTACCTCGAATTAAAGAATTCACTGTTTTCAAGCATATATGGAATGTTTACTAACAGACAGTGAACACGTTACCAGCCCACAAAACCAAATCTCAACAAATACTAAGGAATCTGTATCACACTGGTCATGTTATCTGACCAAATGCAATGACAACAGAGTAAGAAGCAATCACCAAACATTTGAAAATGTAAAACCATAAAACCACATTTGACTAATAGCCCAAAGAATGAATCACAGCAGGAGCTGAAAAGACATAGAACCAGGCGATAAGAAACACAACATATAAACATCTTCAGCGTGCAGCCACGCCCAAGTGCCTTCAGGTCATGAGTGGACTGCAGGGTCTGGAGTGGTTGGGAGCTTAGCCTTCGTGGTCACATTCTGCAAACAAGGAGCCTGTTCCCTCTATGCCCATCCAGATGGAATCCTTGGAAAGCTTTCTCTTGTGCTCCCCACTTTGCTGTGAGGTCTTTAAAACTGTTACTTCCCGGCCAGGCGCGGTGGCTCACGCCTGTAATCCCAGCACTTTGGGAGGCCGAGGTGGGTGGATCACGAAGTCAAGAGATCGAGACCATCCCGGTCAACATGGTGAAACCCCGTCTCTACTAAAAATACAAAAAATTAGCTGGGCATGGTGGCGCGTGCCTGTAATCCCAGCTACTCAGGAGGCTGAGGCAGGAGAATTGCCTGAACCCAGGAGGAGGAGGTTGCGGTGAGCCGAGATCGTGCCATTGCACTCCAGCCTCGGTAACGAGAGCGAAACTCCGTCTCAAAAAAAAAAAAATAATTGCAACTTCTCATCTCTGCTTCCATTCCCAGCTTCCAGGTTTTGCTCAGACGGCGTTCCACTCTTCTCATCAGACTGTTGTCCCTTTAGCAGCACACTGACATTCATCTTTGTAAGAGTCCCATGGAACACACCTGTCACCAGGAGGGAGTGGGGCGTGGGACTCCCGAGCCAGATGCTGGGTTTGATTCTAAAACCGCTACTCGCCACTCACCAGCACCACTGACCAGAAGCTCATCTTCTCTGGGCCTGCTTTTCCTCCCTTGGAAACAGATTATGATGGCAAGCACCTTCCTCATGAGTAGCTGGAGATTAAGAGAATTGACGTAAAAAGGAGATTATGATCCCCATGGGTGGTTAGGACAGGGAATGGGTTGATGGAAAATGGATGACAACCCCTTCTGGGGTTTGCAGGAGAGAAGTGGAATGAGGAACCGTGGAGATTATGATCACCCTTCATGGATTTCAAGGGGCAGAAGAGTATTGATTAAAATCGAGTTGATGGTATGTCTTCCTCATGGGCAGCTGGGAGAGTAAAATCGGCCATAGAAAATGGAGATTATGACAACTGATAATCCTGAGTCAAGGGGGTTCATGGAAATGGGGATAGTGCAATAGCTCCATCACTGTAATGGGGTAATGCGACTGAGCTGAGGGCCGGCTGAGATGGCGATGGGCCCCTCTGTGTGTTCAGGGGGAGGTAACCGGCTGAGCTGAGGGCCGGCTGAGATGGCGATGGGCCCCTCTGTGTGTTCAGGGGGAGGTAACCGGCTGAGCTGAGGGCCGGCTGAGATGGCGATGGGCCCCTCTGTGTGTTCAGGGGGAGGTAACCGGCTGAGCTGAGGGCCGGCTGAGATGGCGATGGGCCCCTCTGTGTGTTCAGGGGGAGGTAACCGGCTGAGCTGAGGGCCGGCTGAGATGGCGATGGGCCCCTCTGTGTGTTCAGGGGGAGGTAAACCGGCTGAGCTGAGGGCCGGCTGAGATGGCGATGGGCCCCTCTTGTGTGTTCAGGCGGAGGAACGGACTGAGCTGAGGGCCGGCTGAGATGGCGATGGGCCCCTCTGTGTGTTCAGGGGGAGGTGACGGGCTGAGCTGAGGGCCGGCTGAGATGGCGATGGGCCCCTCTGTGTGTTCAGGCGGAGGTGACGGACTGAGCTGAGGGCCGGCTGAGATGGCGAGGGGCCCCTCTGTGTGTTCAGGCGGAGGGTAACGGGCTGAGCTGAGGGCCGGCTGAGATGGCGATGGGGCCCCTCTGTGTGTTCAGGGGGAGGTGACGGGCTGAGCTGAGGGCCGGCTGAGATGGCGATGGGCCCCTCTGTGTGTTCAGGGGGAGGTGACGGGCTGAGCTGAGGGCCGGCTGAGATGGCGATGGGCCCCTCTGTGTGTTCAGGCGGAGGTGACGGACTGAGCTGAGGGCCGGCTGAGATGGCGATTGGCCCCTCTGTGTGTTCAGGCGGAGGTAACGGGCTGAGCTGAGGGCCGGCTGAGATGGCGATGGGCCCCTCTGTGTGTTCAGGCGGAGGTAACGGACTGAGCTGAGGGCCGGCTGAGATGGCGATGGGCCCCTCTGTGTGTTCAGGGGGAGGTGACGGGCTGAGCTGAGGGCCGGCTGAGATGGCGATGGGCCCCTCTGTGTGTTCAGGCGGAGGTAACGGACTGAGCTGAGGGCCGGCTGAGATGGCGATGGGCCCCTCTGTGTGTTCAGGCGGAGGTAACGGGCTGAGCTGAGGGCCGGCTGAGATGGCGATGGGCCCCTCTGTGTGTTCAGGGGGAGGTGACGGGCTGAGCTGAGGGCCGGCTGAGATGGCGATGGGCCCCTCTATGTGTTCAGGGGGAGGTGACGGGCTGAGCTGAGGGCCGGCTGAGATGGCGATGGGCCCCTCTGTGTGTTCAGGGGGAGGTAACGGGCTGAGCTGAGGGCCGGCTGAGATGGCGATGGGCCCCTCTGTGTGTTCAGGCGGAGGTAACGGGCTGAGCTGAGGGCTGGCTGAGATGGCGATGGGCCCCTCTGTGTGTTCAGGCAGAGGTAACGGGCTGATGCATAATTGATGTTTCTTTCCTGTGTGTGGTTGGCGGGCTGAACCGGATCAATGGGATGATCTGATTATGACAGTGCTGTCCCCGTGGAAGGTTGGGAAGGTGGAATGGGTTAATGGAAAATGAGACTATGACATGTCCCCTGTGGGCGTTTGAAATGGTGAAGCGGTTGACTAGAAGTGAGTTAGTACGCCTCTTCCTTTTGCGTGATGGAGAAGTCACAGTGGGTTGATGGAACATTGAGACGATGCTGTGTTGTTTTGTGCTTGTTGGCAGGGTCAGGTGGGCTCGTGGACCACGGAGATGGTAACATACCTTTCTGTGGGTTGCTAGGAGGGTGAAGAGGGTTGGGAGATTCGCACGATGCCTCCCTTTTGGGTGGCTGGAGGGCGAGGTGAGGTGATGGATGATGAGGATCATGCTCTGACTGTCTTCTGTGGGTTGCTGAGAGAGTGTGGAGATTGGACGTCGCCCGCAGCTACACAGTTTCTTGGGATTTTCTTTACGTCTTTTTCTCATGGTCTCACTTTGGCTGCTGCAGCCCCAGCTCTGAACGTCCACCCTGCAGGGTCGTATGCAGAGTGATGCCTTTCGTTAGTTAAAGAGAAACGACTTTCTCAGGTACCACCTGCCTCCCACAGCAGACGTCTCCTCAGGCCCCATCGACCAGAACTGTGTCAACCTGCCCCACCCGCAACAGTCCTAGCAAAGGGGAAGGCGAGGCCCGTCACAGGCTTCCTTCAGGCATGGTGCGTTTCCCAAGGACACGCTTACTTCCTCTGAGCCCATAGCGTCAGGAGACTGGAGCGGTTATTAGTGGCATCACTATTCCGTGCAGAGAAGGAGGCTGCTGCTGGGAGTACCGACGTTTGTAACAGAAAGCAAGGAGGTCAAGGAGCAAATGTCTAGGCACAGAATGGGTCGTCCTGGTGGCTGTAGAAATTAGAAATCACAGTGACACGGGTGCCACCAGCAAGAGGGGCTCAAGTCTTCACTGCTGACCTCGGCATGGGAGGGGGCAGACCACAGTGCAGGACGGGGGCGGGTGTTCTCAGGCAGGCAGCCCACTCCCCCACGGCCTGGCCCCTGCTGTGAGGCCCTTCCTCCTCCGGGAGTTTCCTCTCTGTCTTGGCCCAGGCACTCGCATCCCACCCATGCGACACCCAGTCTTCCTTTAGGTGAGGTCCCCACTCCTCAGACCCAGGGGTCTGACTTTCAGAAGCTCCAGCAGCTTTGCAGCGACAGGCTCTCAGCCACGGGTACGGTCACCTTGAAACCCCAGGGCGGAGCTTTGCGAGGGGTGGGGCTCCAAGCCAGGGCCTGCACTGGGTGCCTAAGGAGCTCACTCCTCCTCACACTGCCCCTCACCCTCGGCCCCTGCCCTGGGCTGCTCACCTGAGCTCTGCTGTCGGCCCTCATGGTCACAAACACCTTTAGCCCTCCTGGTGGCACCACGGGCCCTATGTCCAGGACCCCTGCCCAGCTGTGGACCCGCCACCTAAGGTCTCTGTACTCGGCAAAAAGCCCCTGTTGACCCAAAGTGAGGGCCCCCTGAAAGCCCACCTGCCTTCGGCCACTGTCCAAGCCCTCCCCATCCCACCTGCCCCCTACCCAGAGCCTCCAGCCTGCTCCCCCTGCAGCTCCTGCATCTACTTCCCCAGAGCCCAGTGCAAAGTCCCACGGGCTGGGGCCCTGCTGCGTATCCTCAGTCCTTGGGTCCACCTTGGACTCCCTACTCAGCAAAGGGCAACCGTGGCCAAGCATGGAGAGCCCCTGAACCTCCTTTCCCACTGTTGGAACCTCCGTCCCAGTTCTCTGCATTTGACTCCCTGGTCAGCCGAGGGCCACCACCTGTTTGCAGCTCAGGACCCAGTGGCTTCCTGCCCACTTGTGGCTCTAAAGCCATGGTTTCTGAACGGGGCCCCCAGCTCAGCAAAGAGCAACCTTGAACCCACATTTGTTGTCCTCGAGAGCCCCATCCACCCGCCCACCTGGCATCCAGCACCACAGATTCACCTGCGGTTCCCCGTGTCCTTTTCTGCCTGGGGAGAGCACCTCTGCCAAGGCTAGAAGTAAGTGGCTGCTGCCTGGTGGACCCAGCTGGAAGTGGCTGCTGCCTGGTGGACCAGAAGGGCCTCCCAGCAGTCCTCAGACAGCCACCACACTGTTCTCCAGCAATGTGAGCACAGGCACTGCAGAGTGTGGACAGTGGCCTTGGGGGCGGTCCATCACCTCCCAGCACCCCCGACCCCGGCCCTGGCCATCCATTTCCTCCTGGCACCCCAGGCTCTGACTCTGGCTGTCCATCACCTCCCAGCACCCCCGACCCCGGCCCTGGCCGTCCATCACCTCCTGGCACCCCAGGCTCTGACTCTGGCTGTCCATCGCCTCCCAGCACCCCCGACCCTGGCCCTGGCCGTCCATCACCTCCTGTCACCCCAGGCTCTGACTCTGGCTGTCCATCGCCTCCCAGCACCCCTGACCCTGGCCATCCATTTCCTCCTGGCACCCCAGGCTCTGACTCTGGCTGTCCATCGCCTCCCAGCACCCCTGACCCTGGCCATCCATTTCCTCCTGGCACCCCAGGCTCTGACTCTGGCTGTCCATCGCCTCCCGGCACCCCTGACCCTGGCCCTGGCCATGCTCCAGCTCCCAGTGGTGTCCCAGCAGCTGGCACGCAGCCCCTCTGCTGCCACCACAGTACAAACACAATCATAATACAATAAATGGAAGGCCGAGAAACAGGGTCTCAAGACAGCAGAAGCCAGAGAGGCGGAGCCCAAAGTGCAGCATTGTTACCCTGAGCGGAAAGCCCGAGACCCCAGCCCAGGTGGAAACACGTCTTTCAGTGGAGGGCCCAGGTCCAGGGTTACCTGTGAAGGAAGGGGGGGTTGCCCCTGTGCGAGGCGTGCACAGAAACGTCAGCCACTTGGGCCCAGTGCTGAGGCCTCACCAGTGCTTGGAGCTCCCTGGAGCGCAGCCCCTCAGGGCCCATGATTCTGGGGTACTACTGATGCCAAGGCATTGAAGTGCCACAGGCCTGTGACCAGCAGCTGTGAGGGATGCCAGCAGTGTCCCTGGAAAGCAGTCCCTGGGGCTGGGTAGGCAGGAGGAGTGTGGCAGGTGGGGAAGCTGGATAGAGGTGGCCAGGATGGGGGGCTGTGCTCTGCGGGCATGGGAAGTGTGGAAGGGCGGGGGGCAGGGAGGGACTTTGGGTTTGCCTTTACAAGGATCGCCCTGGCTGCTGTCAGAGAGAAACTGAAGGAGCAAGGCAGGGAAACACAGTGGCGTTCGTGGTCACGGGGAAGGGCTGCTTTCCAGAGGTGGGGCTGAGAAGCGGTGAGGAAGAAGCCTCGGGTGGCGGGTGGCTTGCACCGAGTCTGGGCTGTGGTCCTACCTAAGCTCCAGGGAGGATGGGGATTCTGAGGACAGACCTGGGGAACACAGTACACACCCATGGAACCCCCGGT